TATTAAAAAAGTATATAATAATATATTGGATTGGATTGGCAACTAAGTGAGTGCGGTTATTTTAATAATAATAATAATAATAATAATAATAATAATAATAATAATAATAATCTATCGCGACGAAATCCGCAATCACTTAATTGCCACAAGCCAATAATTTTGTATTAATATGCAATAATTATTATATATATATAATTATAATTATTATATATATATAATTATAATTATTATATATATAATTATAATTATTATAATAATTATTAATATGTAATATATTAAATATGTATTAATAGATAAATTTTTGTTTATTATTATTTTATATTATTACAGAAAGCAACGAGGAACGTACAAACGGAAAGGCGCGGGGCGGAAAGCTCGCGCGTCGAGCACGCTCCTTTAAGGAGGACTTTTTGGAAAAGTTATCACACATGCGTTCACCGGGTAGCGGTGGTACAGGGGCAGCTGGCGCAGAAAGTGCCATAGGAGGAGGAGGAGGAGGAGCAGGCCGAGCTAGTTCACCCTCCTCCCCGCGAACACCTCGCGATAAAAATGGTCTTGCCGGAATTGGACTAGGAACATCTTCCACGTCCTCTACGGGAAAGGATAATAATAATGCAGTTAATCATGAAAAAAATCCTTTACGAGACTTACACGTCCACGTGAGACAAGTGCAGCTTGCTCTTCTACATTTTCGGGATGTCGTTTCTAAAAAGAAACTGGAAATGTTGCCAGGTAATGGGACGGTCGTTCTCGACACCGTTACCACCATACACACGGTACTCAAGTCCTATCTTCTTTCTGAAAATAGGTAAATATATATATAAAATATTTTGTTTTTTTTTTAATCCTTCAATAATAATTTCTTTTTTTTTTTTATAGTTCCACCTTAGGATCCGCAACCAATCAAGTTTATCAAGCACTCGCTCAGTTATTAAAGCTATGCGACGATGTTTTGTTACACGGCGATCAATCTTCCGCTTTGGATACAGAAAATGTTACTCATGTTATCGGTTTGGTCGAAGAAGCGGTTAAGAATTTGGTTTCCCTTGCTCACGAGAAGATTTCCAATCGACAGAAACCTGTTAGCGTTACGATTAACAATCGGTAGGATGATACTACTGTTGTGTTTGTTAAACCCCTTGCCCTACGATTTAAGTTTTGCTAATATTTCACCATAATTAACAGCAAGTTCTCATTTTCCACGTCGAGTTATTTTACAGTTCGGCTAAACACGTTCAAAGTTGTAACAATCGCACACATCTTACCAATCACAACGATGTACCTACCACGGTTGTCACCCGTGATTCTCATGTTTTACTTCCGTTTTCTTTACCACGAGTCACATATTTTGTTCATTATCTTTAACACGAGTCTGACACGATATATTGTGTAGGGTAAGAGGTTAACATTGAAATGTTATCAAATATAAAGGTTTCTCATTGATAAATATTGATTCAGTGCATCAGGATATGGATTGGAAATTGCTCCTCAGAGAAACTCGTTGCCGGATATACCTTTAACGCCAAGGGAAAGAGAAATCTTGGAACAGACCGCTGCTAATAATAGTCTTGTCCGAAGTTCTCATAGTTCTGAATCTATTTTGAGGGATTCCAGTCCACCACCGAAACCTCCTCTACCTGACAGGTAAATTAATATTAAATTCAAATGAAATACATATGAATTTGTTTTGTAATAATATGAAAATTAATATGATTTTAGAACAAACGTATGCTTCTCCGAAGAAAACAGTTCGTCTGGCACGCCACCACCTTTACCACCAAAAAGAAGAACAACCAGAACTCAACAATTACTCGACGAATCCGAAAGTTTCTTAGCGTCTAGTCTCGATAGAGTCTCCTTACGTAGTCGATCACCGGAAGACTCATCTTCTATCCTAAGTGCATCAGCTGGTAGTTTGGATTCTGCTTTAAATCATTCCCGTGACGAGGATGAAATTCGAGCTATCATGGGACCAAACGACGAGTCTCTCAACGATAGTATGGATCTCAGTCTTATTGCTACTATTAAAAGTAAGTTTATTACTTACTGCGAAACAACACATTTCATTTATCGTTTTATTTTGTCATTTTGTTGATTTATCCTAAAAATGTTAAAAAGATATTATTTTCCTGGTGGAAAATTGTGAAGAATAATCTCGTAACTCGACGATACGCTCTGGTACCTTAGGTATGCAAGTTAATGGGACCTCTAATTGCGCTTGTTGGGATAGTTCTGAAAGCAGTATACCAAGTACTATGTTACTGGGACAACAAACACCCCAAGAAATTCTTAATCCATTTACCGGTTTGTAGAATATAATTACGTGTGTGCTGCATGTGATGTGTGTCAATAATTTTAATTGATTGGCGGTAACAATCAATTTACGAGATTAAACATTTCGTTTAAGGGGGGTCAAATGGAATACTAACATTGTTTAACATTGTCAGGGAAAAATAAACATTACAAATTATTTTCAAATATTTAAATATACAATTTAAACTCTATATTTTTGGTTATCATTATGTTTCAGGTATAGATGGAAAAATAGAAAGATTCTCAACCCAAACCCAAGAATCTGGTTTCGTATCGATGCATTCTCAAAGAAGTTCTTCACAAAGTTACACCACTTCTTCCAGTACAACGTCAAAAAGATCGTCACAACAAAGTAGTATCAGTTACAGTTCCCAAACGTTTAGTACTCAACAACAATCTATTTATCAACACAAATTTATATCGGATACCAATGGTTCTGTTTTAACGCAAAAATCAATAAGCAGTTCTAAGAGTACTACAGATAATATGAATATAGCAGAATCTGGCGATGCCATTATATTAAAAAAATTGAAACATGTAAGTAAGAGTATATGCATATCTTTAAAATAGTTTTTTTTTAATAAACGTGATGATACAATGTTATTTCTATTATACGTTATAGGAAATAGAATCGATGACTATATCCGACGCTAATGGAGTACCACCTGCATTACCAGAAAAACGATCTAAACGAAGAAGGGAACGTCAACCATCGCAATACGACAATGTACCTGAAAATGAACATTTGTCTACTTGCAGTTTGCATACCAATAACGGCGACAGTTCTGATACTAATAAACCACCGCCTCTTCCGTTAAAAAAAAAACATAGTAAGTTACTTTAGAAAATGTTTAATATGAAATATTAACAAACAACTATATATATATATATTATAATAGTGTTTAAGCTTTGCGCATTTGTGACGTGACGTGTTGATGTTTCGTCATTTAAATTAATGTTTATACTCTTGTGATATTTATATATATATATATATAATTAATATATAATAATATTAATTTTAAATATATTAATTTTATATATATATAAAAAACAACCTATTTGAACGAAAAAATATGACGGGAGAGTTATTGGGAAAAAAAATATTGGCTACTTGAAACTCTCTTAGATGTTAAGTGATATTCTTAGATAGATGTTTGATATTCTTAGTTCAATACCAAGATGGAAAAAAAAAACTGATGCAATGTTTTGTATCCCCAGTGTTCCAATCAGTGGCATATTCTGGTAAGTGGGATGCCGCCCACATTAATCGACTACACTTAGCAAACACTTTCACGCCAAACGAAAGTCTTTCATTTACTACCATGATTATGTATGTACATGAATTAAGATCCGGGCTTACTTTAGCATGGCATTATATATTGTTAGCTTCATTTTTACATACATACTGTCAAACATACCAAAATGATCTCTAATATCGTTCTCTTTTTTATATTATATTTAAATTGAATTATTTTAACTCTCTTAGCTATAATTACAGCTTACGATTTGATTCATCTCACAGGTGTAATATCAATTATATTATTATCATATATATGTTAATAAAAAGGATCTAATATATTTTTTAGTATTTATCAAGAGAGAAATTAAAAATGTTTAATTAACATGGATATTAAAATCAGCCCTATCGATGGAAGATGAATTTCTTTAGAAACACATTAGTGTTCAAGGTTGTAAAGATAAATTTAATATAAAAATAAGCAAAAATTATTATTAATGTTAAAAAAACATTACTTTGTAGACGCAAATATAATATGTACAAATTCATCAATATATTCTATATATCTTTCTTCAATTTGAATGCAATTCTGACATCTACGTGATCATAGATTGACGTATGCTTGAACTAATATATTTCTAAATCAATTCCTCTATGTAAATTCAATAGGTTGCCTTATAATATTGTATGCTCATGAATAATAAACTTTAATTTATATCAAAAGGGTTGATTTTAGGATCCATGTTAATTAAACATTTGTTTTACTTCTCTTGATAAATAATATAACTCATTATAGAATATCGGATCCTTTTTTAACCATCCTATACATATATATATAATTATTGTAGAAAAAAAAATAGAAGAGAAATATCGTCAAACCTTATTAATTTTTTACTCCAGTGAGTTTGATCTCTTTTCGTATGCGTTTCTACACACAAGATACTGATGTTATATAAATATTTGCTTTTGCATTAATTTCATACACCCTATGCTGCGATATCTTTTTACAGCGAATATCATGCTTGCATCAACCAAACAACCGATCGTATTATTATATATTATAAATAAAAAAAAAAAACAATCTATCTTTCACATTCAAGACTCGTAATCATAATTTTGTTTCCAAGTATATATGTATTTATATTTTATATATTTTATATTTATATTTTATATTTAAATATAAAAATTTGTTAGATTATTCATTTGTGATGACAGATTTGATAATGAGATTATACTTCTTACAGTTATGGCATACATGGAGATGTTTGGAAATTGCTCGCACAGCAACAACGATTTCATTTCTGGTCTTGGAACTCGTCATTCTGTAGCAGCTTACAATTCAATGCAAGCGGAGTGGCAACAACATGAAATGGCCCTTACTACAACTCAATCTTGTTCTTTTGTGGCTCATACAATAACAAATTTACACGATAGCACAAGGTAAATATAATAATATAAAATTATTCAAAATTACTTTTTATATAATTCCTTATGCATAAAAATATAATTAAAAAAATATATATTTCTTTGTTTATAGCGTTTCCATATCTATGACTCCGAACATTACAGAAATAACAAATAATTCTAGTCTTCCTCCTGCTTTACCACCAAAGAGATCACGATCTATTAAATCAAATATTGCACCTTCAACAGTTTCACCAAAGCCTACGATTAGTATGCAAAACATACATACATCCGAACCTATATTATCATCCACTCCTGTCAGAATTGACGAGCCAACATATAATGATGTTTTTATTGATAAGAAAGATGTTGTTGTATCCTCGACTCCAGTGAAATTGGTAAAGAGGATTACAAAATAATAATGTATTTTTTGTTTTAAAATATTAGAAAAAAATATTCACAAAGATATATATATTTATTATTATTTTAGAATACTACTGGTACTACTATAGATGTAGCATTACCAACTTCCAGACCTGCGAGTAACGCTCTCTCGTCTATATCCATTAGCGATAATACCTTGGAATTAAGGGACATAGATCAGGATGATAGTATCTTGGAAGAATTAGATATCAGTAAATATTTAGTCTTTAAGAAACCTGATGAAGAAGGACCTGATATACGTGGTGGACATCCTGACGCGTTATTAATTCATGCTACTAAAGCTAATAAGCACGGTATATATATATATATTTATTTATTATAATTGTTATTAATATATAGAAATCTAAGAGAGTTAAAATTTATTATTTAATTTTTATT